GGGCTGCTGAGCAGCAGGTACGCCAGCCTGGCAGCCGGCCTGTGATCTTGACGTTTGGACACGCGTTTGACCGACTTTGACCGCGCTCTGACGGACCGCTCGTGTCTCAACCATCTTGGACCAATCGAATCGCGCGTATTTGAACGCTGCATTCCATTTGACTGGGATTCACCGGGGGGAACCGACCTTGACCGCCAACCCCGCCATCACGTGCAACCCACCGTTCGAGTCTCCCTTCTGCATTTTACTTCACTTCCACAAACGGCGCGTTGACTGAGTGCCCAGGCCGGCTTTATCTGAGGCGGCTGAGTAACAAAATGGTCCTTATGCTCGTCAGTCATACAGGAGCCGGCCGAGTGGTTGTGTCTCCTCGCCGACTGCCGCCGCTGTGCCGCCGTGCACCGGGGGGCCTGCGGCGCGGGGGCTGGCTCGCAGGCGGCAGCTGGAAGCAAGCTGCGTCGAAACCCGGCCGATATGGGAATGCAGCCATTGACGCGCGCGGGGCTCTAGCCCCTCCCCCGCCCTACCCACCCTCAGTGGGAAAACAACTTTTACTATACACACACAACCGCTGATGTACAATCAAGCACGTCATCGGGGCCAATCACACGCACAGTCCAGCGGTTCGGGCACGTATGAGCGAGGCCGCAAAAAAAGGCGTACGCCAGGCACTGCGCGGCGGCGGCGGTGCTCGCACTGGCCGAGCGCCGCGCACGCCGCGTCTGCATGGGTGTGGCTAGCATCGTCCGATGCCTGGTCTAGGCATATGTTCAGGTGGGTTGCCAAAGAATCGCAAGGCGACAAGCAATCGACCAAACACTTGACAGGCAGCAGGTAAGTTGTGAAGCAGGGAGATTGGTCGGGGCTGCGGTCGCAACCACGGTGCTCTAGCGGTTGGGTTTTGGAACCTCTGGTTGTGGGCAGGGCTTCCTAACGCTTGGCACCAGGCCCTAGGGTGGGACTCTGCTCTAAGAAGTGGCAAGCTTGTGGTACAAACTAGTAAGTAGACTGTGAAGGCCGGCACGAAAACAGGCGCCGTGGGAGCGCAGGCCCGGCTGGGATCGATCAGATCACAGGAGATCAGATCAGATCCAATTGGATCACATCAGGCCGAAGCCCTCGGCGTTTTCGATGGCCAGCAGCAGCCGCGCCCGCAGCGTCTCCTTGTCCCTGGGGCGGCGGAGGGTTGGGGGGCACAGCCTTGTTGGTTGCTTGTGAGCAGGAGGCGCCCTGGGCAGGGGCAAGGTGTCGACCCCCAGCGCGCTGCCATGGCGATTTGCTGCTGAGCGCTACCAAACACATACCCTCCTTCCCGCCAGTCACTGCTTCCTGATGCCCCCGGCGGGACTGCCGGAGGCGCCCCACCCGCCCACTCGTCGCAGCTTCGGTGATAACGTCACTCATTGCAGAAGATCAAAGGGCTGCACACGCCACATGAGGCGGCCGAACAAGACCGTGCCTGTCCGCCCGATGCAGCCCCGGCGCCGCTCCCGCACCCTGGACCGCGCCGCGCCCGGCCCCGAAACCGCCGCACCTGTATACCGGCAGCAGCAGGTGGTTGAAGCAGGTGTGCGCCGTCGGCAGCCGGTCGCTGTGGCCGCCGTTCGGGGATATCACAAAAGGCGGGGTGAGGTGGGCGAGGCCCTTTATGGGCACCCTGTCGGACCCCGTGATGAACGACAGCAGCCGCTTGCGCTGCGCCTCTTCCAGAGAGTGGGCGACCTGGCCGGGCACAGGGAGCGTTTGCGTTTCAGGGCGTGGGATTTTGGGGGAGGGGGGGTAGGGTTTGAGATCTGGGGCTTCACGGTTGCAGGTGCGCGCCGCGACTGGGCAGGCCCGAACGGCTGAGCGGCGGCGTCTCGCGTACGTCTCCTCAGGGGGGGCAGACGGCGACGGCTGCCAGCCGCATGGACATTCAAGTTCACACTGCGTCGCGGGCTGCGAGGCGCCGCCGGTGCGCGATCCCCGATCCTCCCCCACCCTCCCCGCCCGCCCACCTCCCAGAACCAGCGTATGACGGGCGTGGTGCTGCTGTAGCCGTCGTCGTAGTGTGTGGCGGCCTCCAGTTCTGACAGGTCCAGGGTGCGGCCCCCACACACCAACTGCTCCAGCTCAGCGGGCCTGGGGGGGGGGGAGCAGGTTGATGAGGACGTGAGATCTGGGTTTGGGTTTTGAGGGGGAGCTATTGGCGAAATCGGCAAGCTTGATGTGTATCTGGTGGGCTCGGGCTGTCAGGGGGACGCTCGGGGTGCTAAACGAGGAGAGGAGGGTTGCATCAGCCGAGGAAGTGCGTGGGCTGCCGGAGCTCTGCATCGCGTGGTGGGTAGAACACTTTTTGTGCTGGGCTGATAGCTAGGGTGGTGGTGTTGTGAGGGGAGGCGAGGGGCGTGCGCCGGGCCAAGTGTGCTCGCCGTGGCAGTGGGGTTGGCGGGTTCGGGTGCGAGCGTTGGGCGGGACAGCTGGGGAGCACGGCCGGGCAGGGGCCGCTGCGAGGCGGCTGCCCTAACGCCATGCGCGAGGCCCCAGGCCCGACCCCGCCCCGCGCGATGCCTGCAGAGACTGCTCACATGGCGCGGGGTTTCGTCGTGGCCCACCCCGGCCCCTGCTCTCAACGCCTCAGCCTCACAGGCCTCTGCTGACACCCCCCCCCCCACAC